CTTATGCCCAAATAAATCTGTTAGTCTTTAAGGTGCCACCAGACTCCTTGTTGTTTTAGGCTGACTTAGTTTTTCCATTCTAACTCATTCATTTCTGAGAGATCATAGAAAGAGGCATCTGAGACAAAAACACAGAACGCCATCTTGACCTCAAATGGCAATACAACCTAATAAATAATGGGATAGATCTTCCCCTTACCCTGAGCTGCATGGACAGTGACAGTTATGTTTCTCCATGTCAGTATATCGGCCATCTAAGTAAGCTGTCTGCACGGTTTGGAAACGCATTACTGTAAAGGCCCTTCTCAGTGAGTTATTAAACAGACTGTCTAAATATCTCCCATACCCATGAGTCTTTTTAATAAGGGAAAACTAAGGTGACATTTGAAGTAGAAACAACTGCCATATATAGTTGCTTATTAATATCTTCTATTCTCCACTTGAATAGGGATTTCACACTTCTAAATTTAACTCTAATCATTTCCGATTCTGAGAAATCTAGAGAATGCTAAGGATTTTGAATATGCTCTAGCCAAGACGCACACTTACTAAGGCAGATGGGGGTTTAACTGAACACTTATATACTCTCTGATGTTGCAGGCAATGGTGAATGTGAAGCTGGTAAATGTAAATGCTTTCGCGGCTGGGAAGGTGACCGCTGTCAGTGTTCACTATTGACAGCAAAACATTGCATGAATTCCAAAGGCCAGATTTGCAGTGGAAGAGGAGCATGTGTATGTGGAAAATGCGAGTGCACTGATCCAAGGAGTTTTGGCCGGTTTTGTGAATATTGCCCTACTTGTAACAATGCCTGTGACGAAAACAGGTATGTTTCTAATACTTGACTTAATTTCCATTTTTAATGTTGTTGTCCTTTCCTAGAATATTCCCATTCAGATGCTGTATACATTAGAATTTTATTCTCAGTGTAACCTTACTTAAACATGAAGCTTTGAGTCTCGACTTGAGGCTCGGACTGTACAATTCATCTGCAGCTGAGGTATTCGTGCTGACATGCCCAGATCCACGTGCAATGCACTGAAACTTACTTTTTTTTTTTTTTACCTGTAGTATCCCATTAATTGTAGTCAAGATGGTTGTTTTATATATTTCTCCATAAATACAGGATTATCATGGCAACATATTTTCCCACTGCATTATTACTAAACTGGAATAATTTAGAGATGGTCTGAAAGTGGTATCTGCTACACACATCACTAACCCTTTATCAGGAAGGTTAAAACATAAAAAATAACGTTGCTGCAATGAAAACAAGGCTATTCATAAGTGGTTAAGGGAACACTGTTGTTTTGGGAACAGAGTATTAAAGGAGGGTAGTATATTCATTCATTTGGTTCCGAATACATCCTCTAAAGGGCTGGGGGGAAAAGTGCAGCTTTGAGTTTTAAAGATGAATACTTAGGGTGAGTCGTTCTGCTCCCATGTGCGAAGAGGTAGAAAGGGATCAATCCTGTTGCCATGCTTACCCTTGTAGAGAGACTAGTCGCAACCCTGCCCTTGTGCTCTCTTCCCAAATAAGACAAGGAAGAATGAGCCTGGAGACAAAGGGCTTGTCTACAGTCAAAACATGACAGCAACACAGCTGCACTGCTGCATCTGCACCGCTGTAGCGCTTCAGTGTAGACACAATCTACGCTGATGAGAGGGATTCTCCCATTGGTGTAGGTAATCCACCTCCCTGAGAAGCGGTAGCTAGGTCGACAGAATTCTTCTGTCAACCTAGTGCTGTCTGTGCAGGGACTTAGGTCAACTAAACTACGCTACTCAGGAGTGTGGCGTTTTCACACCCCTGAGCGACATACTTATGCCAATCTAATTTTCTCGTGTAGATCAGGCCTCAGCCATGTGTCTGCCTCCCCACTAGCCACCAGAGCTGGGCTAACAAGGGGAAGTAAATTCTCCACTCTTTCAAAGATTGTAGCAAGAACTACATGCTCCTGAAGGCTGCTTCCAAAAGCTCCTGCTGGAATGTTGCATCATTCTGCAATCCCCATTGTGGGCAATTTAACCCTTCATCTAAAAAAATAAACAGTAAAAATAGAAAGAATTGATATTCACCAGTTGAATTCTGAGCTGTTTAGTATACATGCTGTTGGAGGAAAACTCCAGGCCATGTCTGAAGAGGTGAATGCTAAGACTTGGCAGCATGATGTGAAAATACAATATCTGGGTTATAACTGAAAGTCAAAGGGAGTTAGTGCCCATGCCTTTGAACAATCTATCTCAACTTGATTAAAAAGTCAATTGCATTTTTTTGTACCATTAATGATGTTTGTTTTCTGTAGTCATTTAAAGTTCAGTTCTACTCTGAAAGTAGTAGTAAAAATGGCACTACCTACTACCTGTTTGTATTCAGAGTCTGATCTGTTGACATTTAGTGACAACAGTAAGTTGTTTGCTACTTTACTTCTGTAGGCACTGCAGACCCAGCCCTGTGTAGACAAGGTGCTCATGTTTATTCTTCCTAATGTATCATCAAAAGAATTCCATTTGCAAGGCTAAATGTTTCCCTGTATTATTACGGTGCATCTCATTGAATGCCATGAAAATGTGGTGTAAGGGGCAATAAGTGGACTGCAGGATCGTTATTACTATTGATGATGCATGAAAGGAAGGAACCCACCTTTATTTTAGTAGCTCATGTTGAGTTTGTGGATCTGATAGCTAAAGAAACCACAGGGTAGATTCTGCACCTCCTTAGATGTACAGCATGAAAGGTGTAGTCCAGGGTCAGGGGAGGGTGGCTTTGAGCCAGCATCTGACTATTTTACTTCACTACTTTTCACCAAATAGTTTTGAAAACCACATTGGGCTAAAGTAGAGAGACAAGGTGAGTGAGGTAATATCTTTTATTGGACCTGTTGATGAAAGAGACAAGCTTTCAAGCTACACAAAGCTCTTCTTCTGGTCACTCTATTAGCTCTAGGTAGCTTGAAAGCTTGTCTCTTTCACCAACAGAAGTTGGCCCAATAAAACATATCACCTCGTCTCTCTAATATCCTGGGACCAACTCGGCTACAACAATACTGCAAATAACAATGGGTTAAAATATTGCAAGAGAGAGACAGCATGTCTCAAAGTTAATAAATAAATGCTTCAGTATTTTTCTAGCAGCAAGAGAACATTATTTGAACACAATAATTATTCTGTTGATTTAATCGTTTAAGGAAAATGCAGTGAAGTTATAATGGTGGTTAAGTGCTATATTTATATGTTCATTTTCAGGAATTGTGTTCAGTGCCATTATTCTAACAATGCATCACAAACTACACATGACCAGTGCAAAACCTCATGTGCTTATATGGTGCATTATATTGATCCCGCATCAGGTATGTAAAAACCTAGCTTTGCCTAATCACTTCATTAAAAGTGTGAAAGCCATCAAAATTCGTAGTAGAGGATCCACACAACCCACTTGGCATCACTTAAGAACCATTTAATTCTTTAAAATTGAGTGTAAGTTATGTATAGGACTCGGTATAGGCCCTCTGCATTGTAGTGAATTTTTCCCCTCAGTTAACAGTCAGGGCCAGCTCCAGGGTTTTGGCCGCCCCAAGCAGCCAAAAGAAAAAGCCGCAATTGCGATCTGTGGCGGCAATTCGGCGGGAGGTCCTTCTCTCCGAGCCGGAGTGAGGGAGCGTCCACCGAATTGCCGCTGAATAGCTGGACGTGCCGCCCCCTCCGGAGTGGCTGCCCCAAGCACCTGCTTGACAAGCTGGTGCCTGGAGCCGGCCCTGTTAACAGTTAATACTTAATTGTAAAAAAGCCTCCACTCTTCCCTTCCCTTATGCCTTCCTCAGCCCTGCAAAATTCAGTACATCTTGACGTGTTATTTTGTAACAAAATTAAATCTGATATCGTCCTGCTTAAATATTCGTATGAATGATGGATTTAAAAATTGGCACTGATGCACAGATATTTCTGTAATAACATTCCTTGCTCTAGTTAGCATTTATATTCTTCAAGAGTAGATTGTGATTGTTTGAAGAAAGTTTGTTTTGCTTCAGGGAAAATGAAAGATAAATAATAACAGGAAATGTGATTGGCAAGCATTGCTTAATCAGATTTCCAAGATCCTTGAGAAGTTGCATCCAATAGTGAATCCTGCCTCAGTAATGTTTAAAGAAAGATTTACAGAAATGTATTATGGTAGCCATATGTTTTACTACTTCTCATATGTTTACATTATTTCACATTACGAGAGCTGAACAAATGAAGTAGAACGCATAGCTCAATGAAACATTTTAATGTGTCTTAAGTATACACAGCTGTAAGTTAATGAGGGTGTGTAAAAGTCTTTCTCTATTAATAAACACATCCAAAGCCCATTCAAGTGACAGGGCCCAAATGGCAAAGAAAATTACATATATGTAATCACTTTTTGTCAGTTAATAGCTTTACGTAGACATTTTGTTTTAAAGAGGCATATAAAAGTGACAGTGATTCTATTTGGGATTTATGAGAAGGATCTGTAGATTTTTAAAACCATTAGAGTCCCAGACTATTGAGAGAAGCAGCTTGGTGCGGTGCAGTGCATAGGGTATGGGACTGGGAGTCAGGAGACCTGGATTCTATTCCTGACTTTGCTAGTAACAAGCCTGAGTTTTACCTTCCACACTTTGTCTGTCTTGTCTGGGGCAGAGACTGTCTGGTACTGTTTTGTGTGCCTAACACAATGGAGTCCTGACCTCTAGGTGCTACTGTAACATTAAACAATACAAAAATTGTGACCCTGTATCTGGATCTTCCTAACTGGAATTTTTTTCCTGATAAAGCTATTTTAAAAATAGTTTGCATATGGCAATGTGAATAATTATTCCTTCTTCATTAAATACTTTCACACATACAATCATTTGGGGTTATTTTAGGAATTTGGTTTAGTGAAGCTATGCTAAATTAATGTGCAGTGTTAAATTCAAACTTGGTTTAATGGGTGGCCCATATCAATATTTAGCTTTACACTCTTGTTTTCCTTTTATTGCAGAATGTTTCTCTGACCCAAACTACTTTAGAATCTTTTTCATAATCTTTATAGTTACATTTCTGATTGGGTTGCTTACTGTACTTATCATCAGGCAGATAATTCTACAGTGGAATAGCAATAAAGTTAAATCTTCCTCAGATTACAGAGCATCTGCAACAAAGAAGGTAATTGATTTCAGAGAAAATCATATTCAGTACTTTTTTTTTTTTGCTTGCATATAAGTGTTAGCTATTTGTTGCTAAACTGTATCTTCTCCTTCAAGGATAAGATGTTTTTGCCTACTGTTTGTACGAGAACAGTAACATACAGACGTGACAAACCAGAAGAAATAAATATCGACATCAGCAAGTTACGATTAAATGAAACTTTCAAGTGCGAGTTCTGAAGACTGTTTTCTGCAAATCTCTATTTCCATCATTTTCTAATTTTAAAAAGCTATCTTATTTTTACTGTGTAAGAGTCTTGACTGATGCTATTTGTTTTTGTGGCATGCATTTTTTGAATACTGTAACAAACCAACATGTAAGCATAGTCACATAATGTGACTACGTTTGAAGTTATGGCTGCTGTATTTTATGAAAGAGAAATGTGCATTACTACTGTTCAAGACCATTAGTGTTGGTGTAGCACTTTAATGTAAAATAATTTATTTAGTTATGGCATAGAATGTAGATATGAACAGGGGGGACAAAGCACTGATCTCACTTTACATGTAGCTAGTATTGATGTGCGCTGCGGGAATGGGCAAAACTGTGATTAAAATATTAACATTCCTATACATTATGGCAATAGATGGCGCTATTGGAGTACTTGTACATGTAGAAATGATACTTCTTAAAACATTTATGGTTTTCCTTTCAAAGTTCCACTGATCTTGTCTGCTTTGACATCAGTTTATCTTCTTATAGTTACTTATCAAAAATAACTGGATTAATGAGTGCTTAGTTACTACTGGTATTTTTAAAAATCTACAGAATATAATGTCACTTAAACAGGATTTATTCTTCATATGTGATAAAGTGTATACATTTTAATATTCTCTTTGTTCCAAAATAGAGACTTTTATATATATTTTAAGATATGTGAAAACTGAGTCAGTATAAAAAGGGGAAAGGGGGGGAGAGTTATTCTAGTGTGGTTTTGTTTTTTGTTTTAGCTGACTGGAATACGCTACATAATAATTAAACACACTGGCTAAATTCAGTTCTGGGGTTGGCAAGAGGAGCTGCACTGAAGTCAGTTGAGTTACACCAGGGCTGTATTTGGTCTGCTAGCTACAGTCCAGTGTTTTGCCGAATAAGGGCTCTCTTCTTGTTAAATATCTGATATGCCTGATTTTTCCACATCTGCGACTTTTTAGCTGAGAGAATCAGTTTGCATGAATCCTTTATTTAACCACCTAAATTGTTGTTGCGGTGCACTGGGATATGTATCCAGTAGGATGTGAAGGTGTCAACTTCAAAAGAAGAAAAAGAATACAGAAAAAAAGGAGAGGAATTTTCCCATGAGAACTAGTTGAATTGACCAATGTAGATTCAAATTCTGCCTTCAGAAGTCGGCAAGATCCTTCCTAGATTCAATGGGACCAATATGGATGCGTCTGAGGGCAGAATTTGTGCCACGGAATAAATTGTGCAAAGATACTCCACTTCTCCGTAAAACAAACTCTGCAACAATGGAGGCTGTCGTATTGTTGCTATATGCCATATAAAGTGCACAGCTAGTAGTCAGACTGACTTGTTTTACATTGTCATAAAGTTAGGAAGTCCTGGTAACCCTCTTTGAAATATGCACTAAAATTTAGTTGGCAAAAAATTCTCTGACATGACATATGTTATCAGTGCTAAATACTGATACTCAATACTAATCTGTGCCTTTTGCAGAGCGTATTTGTTTCACTGAAACAAGGGGGGAAATGTCTTTATTAAAAAAAAAGCAGAATAGACATGGTTGAGATACTTATAAGAAATGAGAAAAATGAATTCTCCCAATTCTGCATTCCTTCTGTACAAGTAAGTCCCACTGAAATCTGGGAACGATGTGCATGTGAAAGGAATGCAGGATTTGGAATAGATAATCAGCTTTATGGGTCGTGTTTCACAGACAGCATTCCCTAATACACTGATCAAATGGAGGTTTGAAAAAAAAATCCTACAAAGACAATGGCTCAAAATTTCCATTGTCATTGTTCTAACAGCTCTAGATATCAGTGGTAGTCACTACATACTTCCCCCTATTAAGCCACCTTTTACTCCTCTATTAAGTATTTCTATGTCACACATCACAGTAGTATTTGAACTTCAGTTCAGACAACTTAAAAACATCTCGCTAGAAATTGGAATACATTACACTGATTTTATTTGTGTTCATGATAACCTTCATTTTTATTTGTTAATTATCGATTATTGAAAAGTATACTACAGTGAATCAGTTCAACTTTATACTGTATTTAACTTGAATTATTTTTCTTTATACTGCACAGTGTGGGACTCAGTCCTCCTCCCATGGAAGTTAATGGGATGATTACCATTGACTTTACTGGGAACAGAATAAAGGCCCATGTGAAATAAGCATACTTAATATTGTTCTGGTCACAACTTGTTAAAGAGAGGAGGAAACAGGGTACTGTCTGGATATCAGTAACTGTTTATTTAATTGAAAGATTTCATGTGCTTCACAAAAGATATGAACCTATTCTTTAAATAATGGAATATGATTTTTAACCTAATTCTCTTGGAATGAAATACAATAGCCCTTAAGACAACATATAGTTAAGTGATATAATTGGTAAAAATAATTTATAACTGTTTAAAATAACTTCTCTTCATTGTTCACAAGTGTCAAATTATTGAACAGAAATGGAGTTGGGGACTTCATATACAGGAGAGAAAGGGGTCTTTATGGTAACATCTCCCCCCACCTCCAAAATACGTCCTATCGCTGTTTCTCTCCTTCTGTTGCACTTTGTTGGAACTCCAGCTCTACTCAAATGGGGGCATGGCCAGCATGTTGCCATCAGAACAGCTGCTCAATGCATTATATTCCACTCGGGTCAGTGGAACTTTGCAACATAAATTTCATTGTAAGCTGCTGCTGTCCTGAGTAGTTGTAACTCCCCCTTCCACTGCATTAATGTACCATGGAGGAGGTTACGAGCGGGCTACTGACAAAGAATTAGCTGCTAGCAATGCAGAAGGCCAAGAGCTAATCTTTAGAAGGCATTTGGGGAGGTCAGACAGAACAAGATCCTCAAGACGGTGCCTGATTCTCATTGATGGCTGCCATGCATGAGAAACTGTGGCCTTGCCTGCTAGCTGTTCCCCTTGGCCCCTGGCCCTGCTTTTCAGAAGGGATGGTGCAGAGGAGGAATGACCCAACAAAAGCCTCACAGTGGTGGGGATCTGTGCTCCATTTGCACATAACCTTAAATGAGAAAGCACTTAGCCCATAACTCACAAGAAATTTGATCAGCACTTACAGGTACTGTGGCTGTGCTTTGTGTAGCAGTTAGTGTGTGCGCTATTGTAAACAAGTTAGTTCTACATAGTCCGTATCACGATTTCTTCTTTCTATATTGTGCCACTAACGTGTTCCCTCCAAACAAAAAATATAATATTTGGCCTCAACAAAAGTCACTACAGGCTTATGGGAGAAAGTTAAGCTCACTGAAAAATGAAACATTTCAAATAATTTGACAGTAGGCCAGCTCCAAAATGTGGAACACTTCATTAAAGAAATACACACAGGTACTATATTTGTATTGTTAACTGGTCATTTGGGGATCTTTTTATTTTATTTGTTTTACCTTATGCCCCATAAGCATAATATTTACATGAGCATCTGCAGAAAAATTGTTGTTCCTTGTTTAAACATCTCTATGAATGGTTTAATTATTCTAGTTCTTAAACTAGATACTTGAGCGTAGAGAGGGCTAAATCTTATTCATCTCTAACTACTTGTTCCTGTATATTTTAGAAAGGACAGATGCTTATGCAGTAAAAATGTGCACATTACTTCTGATTTAAAAAAAAAAACACTCATAGAATTACAGTGACTCAGTGTCAATTACTTCCAAGCTCTATGAATACATTTATTATAGTGTCACAAATGAGTATGGGGAAATGGTTTGTTCATTCAGAAAATGTGCACGTGATGTATGTGGAATTTTCATTGTGACAGATTGAAATACTCCCATATATTCACAAGCAGTGTTTAAAGTGGACCTTCAAAAGAAACCACATTTGTCTAGCCATACTTTACATGTTATCAGTTATTTGAATTGTATTAATTTTTTTCAGTGTGAGGCTCGAAAATCTCCTATGTAAAGTATGGTTTTGTATTAGAAGAAATAATTTGCTGTAGGTGGTAAAATATTATGATACCCTTGCTTTCTCAAGTCACACAGGGGAATTAGTTCTTTTTTTCCATACATGGGTGTGATTGTGACTGTGTTCTTAACTACGACAGTGAACCTGTGAAACTTACTTTCAGGCAACACCTACTCTTCCAACTAGCCACGTTGGGTTTTATGATGCCCTTTAAGGCACAGCTCGGGGTTGAGGGATGTGCAGAAATGTACTGCCTTAGGAGGGGCTCGACGAGGCACAGTGTCTAAAGCAGGCAGAATGCATCCAAGAGCTTTGGGGAGCGAGGTTTGAGTGCACTCCTTGAAGAGAGTACAGTATCCATCCTCTGCGCCCAACCTGTTCTGCTAGCCAGTGCAGGGAACCATGTCCCTTCCCAGATGCTTTGAAGAGGTTAGACTGGCAGAGGCACTCACAAGATATTCCTTGTGCATAGGAGAGTGTAAGGGCCATTTTGTGTCCAGCCCCTGCATAGATGAGGAGGCTGTTTGCACCCTCTGTACCTAACCCTGTTCCCTGATGTAAACACAAAGGGCAATGTTGGCAACTGACTAAGAGGGACTACTTGATGTAGGGTTGTAGAACTGGACCCTATGAGCCTCAATTGAAGCCCATTGAAGTCAGTGGGAATTTTTTCATTGACGTCAGTGGGCTTTGGAGCAGGCCCTAAGTAAGCAGTACAATTCACAGTTAGAAAAATGCACTTCTGAAAGATACATCCGCTTTGATTTTTAGTTGGAAATGCCAAAGTGTGGAGCAAGAAATTTTATTGATTCACTGCACTATATTTATCAAACTGTCCAATCAAATTAGAAATGAAATGTATCCGTAGCGTTTATGCCATGCATTTGAAATCTAAAAATAAGATTTACATGGTAAACAATAATGAAGCAGTAGTTAGGAAGAATGTTACTGTTTTTAGCTATTGCTCTATACCCAGAACTCTGATAGAAGTCCAGGGAAATTTGAGTGTACTGTACATTGATGTCAGCAGTAGGTTAAAATTACCTAGCAAAAATAATTTGTATATAATGAGACAAATTAGTGCAGTTGCACAGAATACAAGCTAGCTTAGAATTAGAGCCCAGTATATTTTAATATTGTTCAAGATGATTCTTTCTGAAAATAAATGTCCAGGAAGTTCTTTTGCTTTAGAAATTCCTCTTCAGCTACCATTTCCTCTTTGTTTTATTTTTCTGTTGCACACTCTTGAAACAAGGTACGTAGTTAGGAAAAAATGAGTAAAATGTCTGGCATGTGTTGATGTGAGTTGAAATCCTGTCCCCTTTCAAGCCAATGGGAGTTTTCATTCTGGCCACAGCTTCACCCCAGCTACCTTCCTTTTTTTCCTGTTTGCAAACACATTTGTTTTAGACACATTCACTGGGCTGAGATCTATTTCACACTTACTACTACTGTTTTCAA